GTGAGTGAGTGAGTGAGTGAATAAAATCAATAAATAATATACTTCAAAAAGGTATTTAATTCACTTATACATAAGGAATCGGACACGATTTTTACCAGTTTAAAGGGTATATCACACACACACATATAAACACACACACACATATATATATAAACACACACACACACAAACACACAAATAAAATTGAAAAAAAATGTTTTTTTAGTATCTCAAAATTTCATTAACCTAAAAATTGCGAAAACTCCGTACTTGTGTTCGTTTTTACCAAATAATATTATCAGTAATTATTATCATAATTATTAATTATAATTATAATATTAGTTTGTTATTTATATTTTGTTTAGTACGTCAGAAGCATGATTATATATATATATATATCTATGGTCACAAATTATTATTTTAAAGTCATTGAATGGCTTCAATTGTTTAGCTAAATATTTTGGTGTGTGTGTGTGTGTTTGATTGCTTTTAGATAAGGTGTTTAAATTATTTAAAAAAATTGTTATACACACCCACACCACTCTCACACACACACACACACACTGTCACTCACACACACGTGTTTTTTCTAACTAAATGTTTCTATTCTATGAGAAACTCAGCTCCTTCATAGATAAGTATATTATTTTCAAATTAATTTGGAAGATTGCATCATAGCACATACAATATAATACAATATAATACAATACAATACAATACAATACAATAAAACAAAGCACAACACAATACAATTCAACACAACACAATACAATACAACACAACACAATACAACACAATACAATACAAAATAATACCAGTACCAAAACATTACAATTCCATATAATCAAAATTGATATAGCATTTTAAATGAAACAAAAACGTACAACAGAAACAAATTGGTTGATTGACTGACTAATTGATTGATTGTTTGACTTTAGCTGAGTCCAACATACTAGAGAGTCATCCACAAAAGACCGATAACAAAACCGACGGTACCAATATCGTTTCGATTTAAAACGATACCAATATCGTCTCGTTTTAATACGATACATTTTAATTTCTTTAGACTAGAATTGGTTTCAAATTAGAATTAAAACTAACATTAAATGGAATAAATAATGATTTTAAATCATTTCAAATCCTTTGAATTCAAATCTTACATAACACTGATTTATGCATGAATTGTAATTCAGTTCAATGCATGCATGAATTGTAATTCAATTCAATGATTGACAAGTTAAGAACATGAATTGTATTTTTTCAACTGAAACTTTTTTCTTTGGACTTTCGTAACCAACTGAAAAAAACTCTATGTTTAAAAGTAAACAGTTGTTAAGTAGTCAAAGTGAGTGAGTTTATGATAACAAAATGTCACTAACTGATTAACCTGAATAGGTTCAAAGTCCGTACTGATTAAATTCTGATAATAAATTCACTTTTTTGTGCAACTTCTACTAGACTAGTTTTGTTAGTTAGTCTTGCTGTAAAATAAGATACAAATTTAATTAATAAATTTAATATTAAAACTTGTAAAAACCTAAAAAAAAGTAAAACTAACTAAAAAGCAAAACTAAAACTAAAATTAGGGAAAGAATGTCATTTACGTCCAGCAACAAATTCAGTGAAAAAGCCGGCATCAATAACCACAGGGTTGATTCAGCTCCTACTTTGGACAACTTATCAAGGTAGTTTCCATTTTAAATTGGTTTTTTCAAATTATTTATTTATTTTCAGTTTAATTAACTTTTTATTTTTGTGTTATTGTTGTTTGTAATAATATACTGCATCTAAATTTTTTTTATTTAAATGAGATGTAGTATCTTATCATTAATTTTGATTATTATTAAAAGATCTAACCAAAATACTTGAATCATTTTTTCTATCATAAAGCTGTCCATTTGCAAATGACCTTCCAACACAAGGCGGTCTAGCAGTGACCTCCAGACAGCCCCCACCCATTCCCTCTCGACAGCCAGCTGCAAGACAAACCTCAACAATTGCACCTTACTCCGGGTACTCCAGTTATGGCTACCCATATAATTCAGGATTCAGTAACATGTACGGGGGCTATGGAGGTTATGGTGGGTTTTACAACCCCCAACTAGCTGGTGATGCTATGGCTGGGGGATTCGCACAGCAGGCTGAAGTTAGCACTAGGCAGGCTTTTCAATCTGTGGAAACGATCGTTCGGGCTTTTGGGTCTATTGCTATGATGTTGGATTCAACTTATCAGGTTTCAGTAGTTTTGAGTTATGGAATTAAGTTTATTCATTATTTTTGTGTCTTTACTTTTAAATGTTGAGTCTACACAAAAGAGTTTAAAATCTAAACTTGATTTTATACAAAATTGATAATTTTTCAAATGAAGTTACTAATGTATATCTAAATTTTATTGGTGTGTTTATATTAACCTCGAAACATTATATTAAACCTCAGGCAGTTTTCAATTCATTCCGTGCTATAATAGGCATGGCAGACCAGATATCGCGAATGCGACTCCATCTCTCACACATATTCTCGACGTTGGCGCTCTTCAGAGTTCTGAGGTGGATTGTTCGGAAGGTGAAGTACTTTCTGAGAAGGCTGAGGCTTGGAGGCGAGGTGGCTTTTAATGAACAGTTGTGGGAAGATAGCATAAGGGCTGATGGGTTGAAAGTAATGTCTTGTTTGTTTTGTCTTTTGTTTTTTTGCTAATTTGATCAGAGCGTCATTGAATTTTAGAAGTGTATGCTATGTAAATATGTTTGATTGATTGATTGATTGATTGGTTCATTGATTGATTGATTGGTTGGTTGGTTGATTGATTGATTGGTTGATTGATTGATTGATTGATTGATTGATTGATTGATTGATTGATTGATTGATTGATTGGTTGATTGATTCGTTGGTTGATTGATTGATTGATTGATTGATTGATTGGTTGATTGATTGTCTGCTAAAATGAATAAATAAATGAAATGAAAAATATGCAAGTGACTTGTTTTTTATTTTAAGGGAACCAGCAGCAAAGACATTGGAAATTCTTCAGGAAATCCTACTTGGCCAATATTTTTATTCTTTGCAATTGTCACGGGCGGTCCCTGGCTGCTCTGGAAGTTTTTCAACTCCTTCGCTGGAAATCATAATGGTTGTTTTTTGTCTATTTGAATGATTTTCAAGTTAAATTTCATATATTTGCTTTATTTTAACATTTGAGTGTATTTTAGTTACTTTTTTAATTCAAAATTTTAAAAAATATTTCCAGACAAGACAGCTGATTGGCTGACTGGTTTGAGTGACAGCTACGTAGGTGTGGCTGAGTATGACTTCCAGGCAAGAACACCTGATGAATTGAGTTTCAAGAGAGGGAATAAGATTTCAATCGCTCCACAGGGTTGGTCTCTGGGCTTTTTATCTTCCAATGATTTTTTCAACTTGATTAAAAATTCAATTTAATGCATGTTATACTAATTTTTGGTAATATAATAATATAATAATCACATCTTTACATACTCAACATAGGTAGTTTGATTTCTATTGTATTTGTTTTGATGAAAGTTGTTTAAAAATTGAATGTTAACATTTGGTGTGTATCAATCAATATGTATTGATAAAGAAATTAACTTGATAATATTTCCACCTTAGAGCTCCAAACAAACAAAGGATGGTTACTGGCATCTGTCGACAAGATGAAAGTTGGTCTTGTGCCAATGAACTTCATAAAAATTATTGGCAAAATCCGAGGAAAAAATACGAATCCAACAACTAGTCAGACATCTGATTCAAACGCCAACATCTCAGACAGCACTCAAGCCAACGAGAGGCATTATTCGCCCATCATAAATGAAATCATTTATGAGAATATCTGCAAAGAAAAAAAGGTGAATGACGAACAGCAGAGCAAAGTTGACTTCAGCCTTCCCATTATAGATGAGATGAGAGAATGTGAAAAGGTCGCAACAAGTAGCTGCAGTGACCAGCCAGCCAGCAGTCAAATCACACCAGTTAAAAATGACATGCAAGATGTTCATTTTATCTCTGAGGAAAGTGACAGATGCGTGAAGATCACTGAAAATGACGTCACCAATCAAACCATGGACGCGGTTGCCACTGTCAATATGAGTGCAGATACTAATAGCGGCAGTGACGCTAACAAGCCATCGAACGCCGATGAGGTCGGCTTACACGCGAGTCGAGTCTTAACATTATAAACTCATTTTTTTCATTTTTTAGTATCTACTTTCTTCCATTCTTAGTGAAATTATTCTCACTCAATTTGTTTTGGTCGTTTGACTTTCACCCCCTCTGCAAGAAGTTTTTGTTTGAAATATTTAATTTATCTAATCTGATTTTGTCAAAAGTTTTTTTAGTACGTTCAACTGTGAAGCCTTGTTCTAAAATTCCGCTATGTCACTCGCCTACGTGCTTTCATAGTTAAGATTCGGTAGTACGTAACGATGACTATTCGCTCCGTTCAAGAAACTGTATTTCAAAAACGTCAGTATTCCCATTAACAAATTGTACATTTTCATGCTCAGGAAGTTAAGTACAACATGATTCTAGTAAAAAAAACCTACCAGCTTGATTCACTATATTAACACCACATTCTAAAAAATCGAACTTGTGCAAATTCAGTATTATGATAACTCTTCTGCCGTTACAAGACACTATATATTAAAAACAAGGTTTACATTAACAAATTATGCTCAGGAAGTTAGGTACTTTATAAATCTAGTGACCATTTACCATCTTAATTCACTACATCAGCACCACATTCCATTAATATCGAACTACAGTGTGTGTTCAGCAATACATTCGTTCGATTCAAGATACTATAAATATATCAAAAACTTGAAATTTCCATTAACAAATTATATTAAATAGGGTATGCATATATGGATAGTGTCATTAAATAAATATATCATATATAGGATATATATACGGATAGTATATTCTAGTTATGACTTATGTGGATGGTATCAATATGGATTATATCGTTCACCATTCTTTGCATGCTAAGTTAATTTCCATTTATAAATCTTTGCTCTGTTGTCATCAAAATTTTTTTCACAATTCTCTCAATTTAACATTGAAAATGGTGAAAATCGCAGTTGTCGGCTGCGGAACGATAGGAATTAAAGTTGCTGGTTCGCTATTTCGTCGTTTTTTATTGTTTATTTTTGATTAAAATCAAAAATTTGATCAGTTTTTATGTAGTTTGTGATTTCTCTGATCAGCTGTTTGCTGTTGTTTGTTGTTGTTAGTTACCTAACTTGCGTACCTAATTTTAGTAATATTTTTGATTGACAGCCTCTATAAAATGTATGATTGTGCACGAAAAATGTTAAAAACTTTGGAAAAATTGTTAAAATTAATATTAAACAAGCCATTTTGTGATTTTACTGTTAATTAAATTATTTTATTAAATAAATAATAAATAAATGATCAATTTTATTTATATTTTAATTAATTTTTATTCTATTTAATATTTGTATATATATATATGTTTGATTTTCTGCTAAGTTTGATTTTCAAAGATTGACTGAACATTAATATTAATTCAATAATTATAATCCAGTATCTCAGCTTCCACATGTAATGTAATGTAGCAAAAATTTAAACCAATTTAGCGTTTAGCCATTCTCTTGAAACATTATTAATTTATCAATATTATTAGTTTACATATTAACAATTTTTAATCAATAAATAAACTTTAATTAACCAAATATTTATAGAAGAATTATCGTATCATGGCCACCACATAGCTTTACATGACTCAGATAAAGAAAAACTGGATGAAGCTAAAAAGACTATTTACACTGACAAGATGAATTTAATTGAGGAAGGCTTTCCTTCCAATTATGTTAATAAGGTGTTTGTTAATTAATAAACTAATTAATAGTTGGGTCAATCTTTTTTTTCTAATTAGTGAGAGAGAGAGAAAAAAGAGAGAGAGAGAAAGAGAGAGAGATCATTTCTAAAACAACTTGTAATGTAAATTAAATTTCACTGCATTCAATTATTTTAATTTAATTATCAATTAATAAGCATTCTTTAAAGGATGATTACTAACTTGTAAAGTTTATTCAATTATATTCAGTTTTTCTATATTTTTTTCAATTTTCATATTTGTTTAAACTCTACTCATTTTTTTTACCAGGGTACTATAATTTACCTGGATAGTCTAGGAAAAGCTGTTCAGAATGCAGAATTTGTCTTTGAATATGTTGCAGAAGATGTTATTGTTAAACAGAATTTATTCAAATGTACGTACGCATTCAAGTGTTCATTTGTTAGCAATTAACTGTCACAAATCAACATGTTAGCAATCACAATATACAGTGTGAAGTGCGCGATCAATGTCTATTTAACAATGTCTATTTAAGATCAGGGTTAGCTGTTTGCATTCGAACCCTGTAACTGCGTCACAGAGCATAGTACTATAGTCGCGTTGGGCCATGTCAGTATGTGGTGTGGAATCGAGGTGAAATTACAAAAGTTAATTGAAATTTCATAAGTGGGATATTTGACATCTCTGACCTACTTTAACTTTAAACTATCATAATAATAATAATTATTATAAATAATTATAAATAATGATGATGATGATGATGGTGATGATGATAATGATGGTGATGATGATGAAACAACAACGTCAGTAATAGCAGATCACAGTCCCATAACATGCATCATCTGTTCTGGCACGTTATCAATTGATGTCAACGAGTTGTTTGAGGATATTCTAGTGCCTGAAGTAGTTGCCAGTTGTAGTTGTTTTTCTTTTGTGTCGTATCTTTTTGTAGTTTTGGTTGTTAGTTTGGTTGTTAGTTTTGAAGAATGTTTCATTTGTATTTATAATTCATCCGTCAGTTCATTATTCATTCACTCACATATCCATCCATCCATCGGTCTATTTATTTATTCATCCAATTCTCCATTCTTTCATTTACTAATTCATCTTTCAATCCATAATACACATGATCATCCATCTATCCTATCGTTCATCCACTTATTCGACCATCCATCCATCCGCTCATTCATTCGCTTAATCATCCATCCATCCATTTATCTAGCGGACATTAGGTCTTCGTTTCATCTACCCCGTGACCTTTGTGCCCATGTTGGAGGTCAAGGTCAACAGGTTCACGTCGTCTGCTGCCCTCGAAATGGGTTGGTTAGCTGGTTGATTGATTGATTAATTGATCAATTGATCGATCGATCGATCAATTGACTGATTGATTGATTGATTAAAATCGTCATCGTCACTATTAGATCATCATCGTCTTCATCACATTATCATCATTATCACCGTCATCATCATCATCACCAGTCAGTAACTTATTGAAGGACATGGACAAGACCATGGTTTACAGGTCACACAAAGACCAGCCAATCACAGTGACCTATCAGGAGTCACGTGACTTCCGGCTAGGTCATTCTAATTTATATTATTTTTCTTTTTTCATAAAATTGTTGTTGTTGATGTTGTTGTTGCTATTGTTATTATTATTATTATTGTTGTTGTTGTTGATGCTGTTGTTGTTGTTATTATAATTATTATTGTTGCTGTTGTTGTTGTTGTTTGTGTCAAAATTCTCTTTCGTTACAGCCTATCTGAAAAAGATTCAAAACTCCGGTCACTCCGGTCACTCATCATCTTCCGCCTCCTCCTCTTCATCATCATCATCATTGGCATCAACACAAACAGCATCATCATCATCATCATCACACAACAACAACAACGATGATGATAATGATGATGATACCTGTGATTCAGCAATTAATAATAGCAATAACATTAACGACAGTCACATTAAGAACAAAAACAGTAATAATAATAATGATAATGATAAAAATAATAATAATAAAAATAATAATTATTATAATTGTCGCGAGTGTGTGATATGCATGGATGGAGAGAGAGATACTCTTTTGAGGCCCTGCAACCATTTGGTGACCTGCAACAAGTGTGCCTGGGATCTCATTGGTTACCACGATTGCTGCCCTATTTGTAGGTATGTTCTGTGATTGGCTGGTTGGTTGGTTGGTTGGCTGGTTGATTAGTTGGTTGGTTGGTTGGTTGGTTGGTTGGCTGGTTGGTTGGTTTGTTGGATGGTTGGCTGGTTGGTTGGTTGGTTGGTTGGTTGGTTGGTTGGTTGGTTGGTTGGTTGGTTGGTTGGTTGGTTGGTTGGTTGGATGGTTGGCTGGTTGGCTGGTTGGTTGGTTGAGTGATTGGTTGAACGATTCAATAATTTTTAGACTGACTAATTGGTATAGCTAGTTGGTTGATTGATTAGCGTAGTTGGTTTTGGCTATAGATAATTCTAAATGTTTATTTTTAATCTTATTTTTTTCTCAACCAATCATCATTCAGGAAAGAGATAAGAGAAGTTCTGCATGTTTACCATTCGTAGCTACACAAATCTGTCAAACTGCCACTCACATTTCTTCGCTAATTATTTTCATTCTCAATCTTTTGATTATTTAATTTCATTCATTTAGCGTTCTTTATCTATTGTTTTTATACGCAATGGAGTGCATTGTAAACCGATTTTTTTTATATTTAGTAAAATATAAATGTCTAGTCATTTTTTTCTTATGTCTTATCATCGTTTATCTCGCCTGTGATGTTTTTAAACTGTTTGGACTGATTTTTACTTGGATGATGTTATCTGATGAAATATCTTTCACTTACTAAGTTGCAGTTAAACTTTTTGTATTTAAGTACGAGTATGATGGGTTACGAGTTACGAGGGACAGCTAGTATTTGAACCCGGTCACTGTGCAGTAAAAACTTTGTAAGAGATTGCACTCCTACCTTCTACGCTACACTCAGTAATTGTTTTGATTTGCCATCGTGTCTGTTTAATTTGTCGTTAGTTTCGTTACGTTGTTAATTATTTAACCGTGAAAGAAATATGAGAATGTCGGTTCTTAACTTTGTCTCGTCGATATTTGTGTACATTTTTACCGAGGTTTGTACAATTTCTGACCAAGGTTTTTTAAGATGTTGTTTGATTTTGAAAGATCGAAAATGAAATCTCCAAGCAGTTATCTTGAAAGTTTTTAATAATGTCAGAGAGACGCTAATAATAACTAATGATAATTTCTCTGTCGTTATAGTGTTTAGTTAGATCAACTTACATAGTTTATTGTTTATATTAGTTTATTTAGTTATATAGCTCGCACGAGTATGTAGTTCTCCTTAGATTTACTATAGAACTTGTTAAAAATCACAATTTATGTAAATTACTTCACGTATAAATTAGCTCTGTTCCAAATCGTTCTACGCCCGCAAGCCATCAGAATATCTGGTTCATTTAAAATGATATTTTTAAATAGTAGAAATCTGCGTTTCGTAAATTGATTAAAGCGTTGCGATACGAGACGTTTGAAACGAGACGATACGTAACGAGGCAAATGATACGAGACGCAGATGCTTATTAAATAGCACTTACACGCGAGTCAATGTTGATTTTTCCTATTTCTAGTTTTTGACGATAGCCTATTTGAGTAATCGAAGTAAAAAAGTGCCCTGGGCGAGGATCGAACTCGCAACCTCCGCATATCATAGCCATCGCACTGCTTATAAGTACGGCGCGCTAACCGATTGCGCCACCGGGGCATACATTCTTTCACTGTTATTGACAATGTTGAATTTGTTTCTAGAATTTGAACTTTGTAAATGTTTGAAATTTGTGAGACAATCGTTGGGGTTATTATTTTTTAGAAGGTTCTTTTGATGCTTTTGACTGTCTAACAAACTCATTCATTCATTCCTTCGTTCATTCATTCATTCATTCATGTGTAAATTTGTGAGATATGTTTAAATAAGTTATGTATTCCTTAAGCTTAACCTTATACCAGGTATTTTTGTATTGTATTGTATAGAGGTGGGTACTGTTATGTTTGTTTTAGACAGAGATGGGCAGTAATGTAATTCAAGTAATGAAATCACGTAATTAAAATTACAATTGTAATTTGTATCGAAATTACTTTTTAAGTAATTGGTACTTTAGTAATTTCATCTTTCATATAATTTGGTAATTTCAAAGTAATTTCAAATTACATTTTTACCAAAAAATATAGTTTATATGTGAGTGAACAAATATACTTACACAAATTATTATTATTATTATTATTATTATTGAAAAAAAATTTTTCTTGAAATTCTAAAATTTTTTTAAATTCTAAAAATTTATTTGATTAAAAATTTCATTTGCTACTTTGAAGTTTTATGGTCATATAGCTACATCAAAGAAGTTTAATTCTTTGATGTTTGACGCGTCTTTTCTTTTTTTTCTTTCTTTCCTCCTTTCTTTCCTTCTTCCTTTCTTTCCTTCTTTCTTCAATCGTACATTATACGATTGAACAAATTGTTGATCGAAAGAAAGTAATAAATTAATAAAAGAATATGAAAATGACATCAAAGAATATGAAATATCAAAAGTAGCGGTAAATAGTGTCTTTCTTTCTTCAGTCATTCTGTAAATGATTGAACAGATAGTTGATAGAAAGAAAGTAACTCAATGAATGAATATAAAAATAACATCAAAGAATATCAGCGCAAAGAAAAATCAATGTCTAAATAACTTCAAAGAAAATTTTTTTCTTCCTTCATTCAAAACTGGTTTGATGTAATTTAATTTTATCTAATTTGAAATTAGTAATTTGGCTCTTTTATTAAATTTAATTTGTAATTTGTATCGAAATTACAATGTTTAGAGTATTTTGTAACTTGTATCGAAGTTACGATATAGTGTGTAATTTGCCCATCACTGGTTTTAAGTGTTTATGTATAACGCGTGCTGACGTCATATAGTTGTGTAAATTGTATGTCGTTGTTTTTGTTGTTTGAGGTCCCGGCAAAATACTTCTGGCGAAAGAATTAAAAGACGTAAATAATAGTAATTGAATACTAATATTTATAAAGTAGTCTGTAATCTTTAATGTAGGTACGTACGGTGTCTCCAAATGTCTGATCTGAAGTAATCTGAATTTAATAAAAGCATTTTAAAATACGAGGCGGTGATGAAATGATAATTATTTACGATACAATATGATCACGATAATGGCAGGTGATTTTAAAAATAATGAGAGACGGAGAAGGAGAGGGAAGCAAACAGAACATACATGCAGACAGACAGGCAGAACATACAGACAAGCAGACACACAGAGAGACAGAACGTAGAGACAGGTAGCTACACAGACAGACAGAACATACAGACAGACAGGACATACAGACAGACAAGCATTGAAAAACAGATTCGTAAGCTAGGGATGTCATGAAATTTATTTCGAAATAAACAGTTGCTTACAGAAGCCATTTAAAATTTGATCGAAAAAAGTTACTGACATTTCGATGCACGTAAAATTAGTAATAAGAATAATAATACTTTAGTTGCAATAATAATAATAAAAATAATAATCATAAAATTGATCGTAATAATAACTACGATAACAGTTTTATCATTAATCAAATTTAATTCGAACCACACTATAAATGGATTCTTCATTTAACTGACACTAACCATCACATCATTACACACACACACACACACACACACACACACACACACACACACACACACACACACACACACACACATACACACAGACATACATTCACATTCAAGAATAAACACACACGCATACATACTTCACACACACATATATATATAATATATATACACATACATTCACGTTTAAGAACACACACGCATACATACTTCACACACACATACACACACACATACATAAACAGAGAAAATATCCGGTTTTTGTCGTAAGTTAATGTTTTGGTTTCATGGTTTTAAATATTTAAATGATTTCGATGTTTTTGATGCTATAACAACAACAACAACAACAACAGCAGCAGCAGCAACATCAACAACAACAACTACTACAACAACAACATCAATAACAACAACAACAATAATGATAATAGTAATAATAATATAGAACAGCAACGAACAAGACAAATGCTTGAAACATTGGCACGCCAGTATAATGTTGTTAATGTCATAAAAATTATCATTTAACTAGTGCATCTTTTTTTCATTCATTCATTCATTCATTCGTTCGCTTTTTCGTTCATTCGTTCGTTTGTTCGTTCATTCATTCGTTCGTTCGTTCATTCATTTATTCATTTCTTTCTTCCTTCCTTATTTCATTCATTCATTCATTTATTCATTCATTCATTCTGTTGTTTTTGTTTTTGTTGGATTGTTGTTGTCGTTATTTGGTAGATCGTTAGTACCTTTGTTTGGCTGGTTTGTTGCTTAGTTTTGTTGTTGGTTCATTTGTTGAAGTTTCGGTTAAGGCCTAATAATGTCTTGGCGTTTTTTGATCTGCCGCTATGAGGCTTGTTTATGACGTTTGGAGAACATCCGTTGCTCTGGATAACGTTAAAATTCTGTACAGCCTTGTTGAAGAACGCTTTGGTTGTACGATTTGTCTCAAGTCGTTGTTTATCTACAAAACTCAAAAATTGTTGTCAATTGATTGAGGCCTTCTGTGATTAGAACAATAGACAATTTGTTCATTGCTGGTCGCTGTAATGTTGTTTCTGAAATTTGAGGGAATATTAACACACCACACTAATCTGCCAGAAGCCAATGTGAATAAAGGTTTCTCTCTCTCTTTTGCGTTTGCTTCAGAGGTTTCAACGACAAACACACACAGCGTACATGAATACGCGTGCAAATCACGCATCATACACATTGCATATGATAGGCGGGGATCTCTTTGTATTCGAACAAATTTCGGTGTTCTGGTAAATTAATTTTAATTTTAATTTAATGATTCTATTGTAAATATTTTTTTCAATAACGTCAAAGTAAGATAAATAGTAATTTTCACATGCCTAGCATCAACCAACTTTTATAAACCGACGTGCAAACAAACGAATCAGTGGATAAATTGATGTTGAAAATATAATAATTGGTGATTATCCATCAGGCACGAGTTGTGCTTCATGGCTCCGAGAAAGTTATATATATATATATATATATATATATATATATATATATATATATATATATTTACAATATTCTATAAATTCTACCGAATGTTAACTTCTAATTCTCGAGAGAGATGGAGCAGTCGCTGCTCGCGATCTTGTTCGATTGTTAGATTACGTCGGTTGGTCGCAGAACTTCGAGTAAATGTTGGTTATAGACCATAATTTTTACAATATTCTATAAATTCTACCAAATGTTTGGCGTTAACATGTTTGAAAAAACGAACTCGAATGAATCATCATCAGTGCGGTTGATATTTATATAGGGAAATATTGACTTTGTCAAAATGAACTTAGATGGAAATTAGTTGTCAAGTTTCTTTATTGGCTGGTCATCTACTTTGGTCTCCTTTTTACGGAGTTTATTAGAAATCTGAATTACGTTCATTAGTAGATTTAAGAAGCCTCAGAGGTTACTGCTGTTTTCATTTTTAACAATTTCACTTTTTCATTTTCACTAAAACCGAATTCATTTTCTAGTTTTTAGTTGCTTAATATGAAATTTGAAATATCATTCATTATTTTTATAAATTTTATACAGACAGCCAATCATCTATCGGGTCGTGAAGAAGAGATTTTGGATTCTGCAAGTTCATCTAACGCTTACTTCATTTTCACCAAAATCTTTTACAAAATTTTAATTATTATGTTTGATGTTACTGAATGGATTGCCATCACATGCTCGGAAGCATCACAAATCTTTACAGGATTAACATGAAAAGAACAACTGGAATTGTTTATTTCTCCTATTTTGTACGAAAAATTTGTTTCAATACATAAAAAAGAGTAAAATCATATTTTTTTGCAGTGGGGATTGTTTTTTTTAGCAGAATATCATGTATATAACATTAAAATTTTATGTGAAGAAGCTAAACTCATTTACATTAAAGGTACAAATGAATAAACACACTCACAAACACACATCACACACACAAACACACCTGCACACAAACTTGTGTACGCTACGCAAACAGTTAATTCAACACACACACCCACACACACACACAAATAATTTCAATTTCATAAGATCCTTATCTTGAAAACAGTTTCATAGCCATAATGAACCGCGATTCGGTTAATTGACATTAATTCATCAACACTGAATAACACCTACATTTAACGTTATTCTGGATATATACTACCTACTGCTGCTACTACAACCGATGCTGCTACTACTACTACTATCACTATAACTAATACTATTGTTGCAAGCATAATCATTAATAACTCTATGAGACTACCAGTTCGATTGAAAATACCAACACTAATAGGTAGTACGCAGTTTTAATAGCAGTATAGTAGCACAGATTTTAGAAAATAATATAAGCAAACATGAACACGTCATCATTAATTAGCCATTGGCGAATGTAAATCTACTTATATTAACGCATCGTTTTTGCTTTTCATAGAACTTTTATTAATACCCTCCAAACTGCTGGGAATCTATGCAGTCGAACCCCGTCATGGCAACATAGATGGAGAGATGCATTACCATAACGCTAGTCTACCAATGATAATTTTATATAATGGATATTTAATTCAGTATTCTATAAATAATTTACACCAGTTCAAATTAATAACTCTATTGTAAATATTTCTTTCAATTACGTCACAATCAGATAAATAGTAAATATTTTTTTTTAATTTGCTTAGTTACTTTCAGTTCGTTTTTAACTGCGTGATATCCGGTACATTTCATTTATAAACTTGAAAGAAAAGACATTCTTAACATCAACCAACTTTTATGAACAAACAAACCTGGGTGATAATTGATGTTGAAAATGTAATTGGTGGTTATTCATCAGGCACGAGTTGTGCTTCATGGCTTTGAGAAAGTTGTCTCTGGTAGTCTTCGTTGTCCTGCTTGCTTCCTACCATCCAACGGCAGCAATTGAAAGTATGTTCAAAAATTGGTTTCTGTCAAGCTTTTTAAAATGAAAGTGGGAATATAATTTAAAGAGACAGACAATATTATTTAACAATTCAAAATACTAAAAACGATTTAAAGTGTAAGAGATATTGAAATTGGTAGTTTCTAACAAACAATTCTCTTTTGTTTTTATGTTCTCATATAGGAGTGAATGAAACAATTCTAAAGCTCTGGAATTATAAAGGGTGCTATAGGCTCATATTAGAAAACTTTGCTACTATTTTAGAAGATTCTACGTTAATTGAATGTCGGAAAGAGTGTATTACCCACAACTACTATGGCATAGGCATAATGGTTAGTTAATTGTTAAACATGTAGTAACATATGCAAACAACTTTTTGACAACTTTGTTTCTTTTCATTTCAATTCAATTTCTAATCCTAGTAACAATTTTTAATATTCAGATAGAAGAAATGTGCTTATGTCAAAAAAGTCTTAAGGACAAAGTCGTTGATACGAAATGTGATAAACTTTGTTCTGATGGCTTTCCGTGTGGAGGGAATAAATTCATTTCTTTATATGAAAGTAACAAGTTCATATTGCTTCGTGTTAATGAAAAATTGATAAAAATTCTCATTATGTATAACTTTTAGTTAATACAAAATCAAATCACTTTTTCATTTTTTTTTCATTTGTTCACTTGCAAAATTACAGAGAACACCGTCATTCCGGTCGGATGTTTTACAGGTATAAACGTTCAACCGAGAACGGTGATGTCATCGACTCCTTCTGATTGCGTACAAACATGCTTCGAACATATGTATAAGTATAGCACTTTCAATGTTAGTAATCAAGTTTGTTATTTTATTCCAGTTTTAAATGCTTGAAAAACTCTGTAGAGTGTTTATGAAATACTTTCCCTTTACCTACAGCCCATTAAAAAGGCTTTTAACCTCAATGGCGTGTTATCCGATTTAATTTTGTTTTGCTTTGTTTACAACTTGTTTTTGTAACGTTTTGTACACATCCAATGTCTTAAACTCATTCAATGGTCCTATGAAGAAATAAACACACACACACCACTCACACCAATATAGGTATATATAGAGATATACATATATATATATATATATATATATATATATATATATATATATATATATATATATAGTTACTTGATCTATTTTAAAAATTTTCTCGAGGTACCAGCAACCAACGTAAACGATTCATGCCACAGCAGCACATGTTACATGCGACAGAGCAATTACATCATCGCACTGCCCGAAACCTAAAATTAATTTTTGTCAAAATTTCGAGCAAATTAAATAATTTTCATTGAAATTTTTGATTAATTTTCAGAGTTCTGTCTGCATATGTGGAAATGATTTCAAAACGGAGAATCAGATGAAACTTGCTGATTGTGATGATGATAAAAGAATTTTTAAACTCTTTGACGGTTAATAAAAGCAGTTGTCGATTGGTTTAGGAAGTTTTAAGTAAAATTGAACATAAATAGTTTTTGTGAAATAAGGAAACTCATTTTGATCACAACGAAAATGTTTCAAGTCCAACATCTAGTCCGAGCAAATGTCGAGAATTCAATCTATTTCAAATATATTTTAAATCATTAACATTGAATATTCCATTTAATAAAAGTTTCTTTTATTTTCACATGAACAGTTTCTCTGGAAACAGAAAAGCACAACATCTCAACAATATACCAATACTGCCTGAATAATGTAGTTGAGAGCAAAAAGAGTTATTGTACATCCACAGTTTGTTTGCCAGGCTGGAGCGGAAAGCTTTGCAATCAGAAAGGTGCAGAATTCTATAAAACAATAAGATTTATTTAAACACCTCCCTTCTTATAAACATCAGCGAGTTATTTATTGAGTACTTTATATAGTATCTATAATTTTTGCTCAATGAGCCTTGAGCCTGTGTGCTATTAAACAGCTCAGTCGAGAGAAGTGCCATGTCTCACTTTGTTACCTGGTTCAAATACTGTCAGTGCAAAACTCAATGACTATACAAAATGCCTTGCCTGTGGTGTGTGTTGAGATGGTGTGTATATACATCGTGTAGTGTGGATGTTACAACTTTCGTGGAACAAAATTAAAAATTTCAGTACGCTTAAATGTATTAGCTAAAGAAATTGTTCACAATTCATTTATTAAAATACACAATAGTAACGAAAGCAATTTTAAACTCTATTCACAGTTGGAGGATTTAATAATAATAATAAAAAAAGAAAATATTGATAATATTAAAACAAAAAAAAATGATAATAAAAATAATAATATAATTTATATAGCGCAAATTCAAGCAACTGAGGCACCCTCGGAACAATGAAATTTTGTTTCGAGGTAAAATGTTGCAAATATGGGAGAGTTGAAAAAATAACCCAAATTTTAGTAAACAAAATTTTTCCCACAATTTTAGTTTTTAAGAAATTTAGTTGTAGCAAATACAAATTTTTTTCAACATTTAAAGAAATTTGAATTTTCATGATATTTTTGTTGCATTGCTAGGAATGACATTACCTGAATTAAATGAAATTACAACGAGCTCCTCAAGAACACCGAATGTGACTGACCGAATCTCTAACGTTCCAATAATATCGAATGTGACTGACCGAATCTCTAACGTTCCAATAATATCGAATGTGACTGACCGAATCTCTAACGTTCCAATAATATCGAATGTGACTGACGGAACAGACGTGGAAACACCAGCAAGTGATCCCATCACTTCATGTGAAGAAAATAATGGAGGATGTGGTGAGGACGTCTGTGTTGAGGTTCAAGGTGATGTATTTGATGTTCAAGTCAAGTGCAATCCGCCAGATGAAGAAATATTCACAGTACCCGGAGTTTATGAGAATTCAAGCCTCGGTTAGTAAAATTTCTAAAAATTAGTTAAATAGAACACTTTGATTTTTTTCTTGTCTGTTTTTACAAGATAAACCTAAGAGCGACTGGAATTACAAGGGTTGTTTCAACAAAGTGCAGTCTTCTAAGGAGCTGATGATTATTTCAGTAAAATCGTGTTTTGAATATTGTAAAGAAACATCATTCTACGCAATGAATGTGAGTGGATAGTTTATGCTTTTTGAATCTGATTTTTAAGTTGATTTAATTAATTTTTTTCCACTGAAGATTAAAAGATTTTTTGAATTTAAAAAATTCAGGATGGTCGGTTATGCACATGTACCAACAGTGTTGAGAATGAAGCTGGTGCCGACAAATGCAATAAGAAATGTTCAGATGGGCTGTCGTGTGGGGGGTCTTCTTTCCATTCTGTATATGCCAGTAACGTGCCTCAGATCATTTTGAGTTTTTAGTTCAAATTGGCTAGTTTAGATTGACAGTAGAATTGCTATGTTTCAATTGCGCGATGCTATTCATCCGCAACTTATGAACAAACACATGTCACGCGTGTGTGATGCGGTGCATACAACATGTGTGTTGTGCGTCCTGTGGTGTGTGGTTCGTCATGCGGTATGAATGGTACAGCTTTTGTTTTGAAGACATTTTTAAGAATATAAGATGCTATAAAATCAGCTATAAAATTTGTCAAAGCTGACTTTTAGTAAGCAAAAAAATTATTAAATATGTCGTATAATGGCATGCCATACAACGTATGATTAGATTTCAACGTACTGATTTATACAAAACTATACAACCCTCACATTTCTCATTACAAAATAACAGAAAAATCAAATCAATCAATTGCGATTGGCTGTTTCAAATACCTGGAACTTGAGCACAAACATGATCAATTATTAAGTAAAGCTTTTTGTTTGGACAAATGCAAGGAGCTTGGGTTTCCGTACAGCGGGACCAGAGTGAGTTTTGACTTTTTGAGGAACAGTTTTTTGAGAGTTATGAAATGATAAAATAAATTGATTTTATTTCTTTATTTTTATTTCAAACAGTATAGATAATGAAATCTAAATAATGCTTTTTTTTCTAATATTTTTTTCTTAGGATGAAACATGCCAATGCGGAAGAAAAATAGAATTCAAAGACCAGTTGAACAAGGAACAATGCGAAGAACCTTCTGTGTTCGCTCTCCTTTCTGACGGTTCGTACTTGAATTTTTTCCTTCTTTCTTCCAATGAGTTTTTAAGAAACATCAAAATCAAGCACATTAGCCAAGGGACAGGCTGGGATCTCCTTGCATTTGTTCCTAGTCTATGCAAGTTTAGTGCCAAGCACATACAACATTACGCCATCATGCCGCCTTAACACGTAGTTATACATTTGTAAATTTTATAACCATTCAGTTTCGCCGGATTTGGATGCTCAAGGAAAACCGACAAAATACAACTACTGCATGAATGATAAGATAGAAAGTAAGCAAGCTTACTGTAAAACTGGTCATTGCAAAATAGGCTGGACTGGAGCACTCTGTGATAAGAGAAGTTTGAAAATTTGTTTCGAAAACTTTTTTGTCATTTTCGATACAATTTTTTAACTTGCCCAATCTTTCAACTTGAAAGAAACAAATACCCAAAACTCGTGGTAGGTTTTTTTGAATATTCCATCAAAAATTTTTTGTCTTGATAAATAAAAAACAGTTTAATGGTATTGTACTTTAAGTTAATAGCATGAAAAATTGTTTAATAAATATTGTTGGTTTTGAAATAAACTAACGACATTTAGATTGCGGTGTTAATAACGGTGACTGTGGCAAGGAAATGATGTGTGTGCAAGAAATAGTAAACAATATCATGTTTGAAAAATGCCTGTGCGGAAAAGGTTTTGTAACAACCATTGAATCTCAATGTAAAAGTAAGTCAATTAAAGTTCATGCGTATTTAGTGTCTTTTTTTCTAATGTACATGTAGGCAAACAGGTTTGCTTCAACAGGCACTCCCATGTTTTAAAGCGTAAATATACAAGCGGTTGGAAATTTTGTTTAGTGGCTTCGTACATTTTTATGAACGCGCGCGATTTCGGCTCATTCATAATGCTGTTTGGCATCAAATCTCGTTAATCATGAACATTAATGAGGAAGGTAGCAGCTTTTTATACATCAGTTATGACATTTTCAAGAAATAAATTTTTAACAAGAGGTTTCTTGATAACAAATTAAGTAATTTTTTCGTTGAAAATGAAACTCGAAGAGCAGGAAATAATGAGAGAA